TCCAACATTAACCCATATGTCCAACACCAGTCCACAAAATCCTCCTCCATCTCACAAAACACAGGCAATGATGCTGACTGCAGGGGGAAAGCTGAACCAGTGAGCGTGTAAGTATCTCAGTGCTGGCAGGAGTCTCCACATGGCTGCTCCAGCACCCAGGGCTTCATCTGAGTAGGTCCCTATGGCTTCTCCTTGGGGATGTCTTGCTGGAAGTGAGCCTTGCCAGATGAAGCAGGGAACTGGCTAAGGCAGCTGCACCCTGGTCCGACCATCAGAAAGCAAGAGACCGGAAGAACTAGAAAAGTGAGGCTCACCAAGCCATTTATCGCTCCGCTCTTCAATTAACCCCACATGTGTTTATCGGCCAGGTTGGCACAATAAACTAACTCATAGCGTTTCTAGTACAGTGCAGCAACACCAAATTCAAACCAAGCTCAGTGCCATCAAGTTGATTCTGACTTATTACAGACCTTTAGGACAGGCTAGAACTGCCTCTTGGGGGTGCCAAGGCTGTCAATCTTTGTGAGAGCAGAAAGCCTCATCTTTCTCCCTGGAGCAAGTAGTGGTTTTGAACTGCTGATTTTTCTCTTAGCAGCCCAACAGGAAATGCACAGATGTCTAAACGACAGGTCCCAAGGGACATTTCAAGAGGCCTGAATTCAAAGCAAAGTTGTGCTTCTGGTACTTTCTGAATCGCCCTAGGCAAATGAAGCGACCGCCATCATCCTCAATCTCCTCATTTGTTCAGTGGGGGTAATAATCCTATAAAAGATGCCTAAGGACCCTCTGTCGGGTTTCTGAAGCTGTAACTGTTTACGGGAGCAAATAACTCACCAAAACTCACTGCCGTCAAGCCTATCCCACCTCTGAGCATCCTACAGGGCAGAGCAGAACTGCCTGTTTGACTTGCCGCGGCTTTAACTATTTCTGAAAGCAGAAAGCCTCACTTTTCTGCTCTGAGAGCACTTGGTTAGTATGAACGAATGACCCAGGCAGGTTCCTCATCTGTACAATGGGGGGAATAGTGCTTAGCATTTAGTCTAGAGCAGTGGTTCTCAACCTTCCTAATGCCGCGACCCTTTCATACAGTTCCTCATGTGGTGGTGACCCCCAGCCATAAAATTATGTTCGCTTCTACTTCATAACTATAATTTTGCTACTGTTATGAATTGGGCGACCCCTATGAAAGGGTCATTCGATCCCCAAAGGGGTTGCGACCCACAGATTGAGAACCGCTGGCCTAGAGCTTGGAGCATAGGAAATTCTCAATACAGGTGAGTTATTATTGTTTTCGTGCGGGAAAGAGCCGCAATAATCAGACACAGTTAATCAGGAGGTACCTAAGGTGCTCTAGGAGAAGGATGAATGAGTCCTTCTCATCTGGGCTGGGCTCTGCGGGGGAAACTAAGGCTTTCTTCTCCTGTAAAGAGTCATCATTTTGAAACCCACTGGGGTAGTTCTACCCTGCCAAATAGGGTTGCATGGGCCAGAACTGACTTGATGGCCATGGGGCTGTTTTATTTGGGACAGGTCTTTCATTTTGTCTCTGGGGTCTCCAACCTCCAGCCTAAAAGGAGGACTTGCCATCAGTCTCAGCAGAGTTTAGCATTATTCCGCTCCCTGCCTCGGTCCTCTAACCTATTTGAAAGGGGGCAGTAGTTCCCATCTCATACTCAGACCACCAGCCCACTGCTATCCAGGCAGTTCCAACTCATAGGGTCCGCTAGAGGGTTTCTGAAGCTGGAAATTCTGTGCGAGCAGGAAGCCCCGTTGTTCTCCTGCGGATCGGTTAGTGGGTTTGAAATGCTGACCTGTGATCGGCAGCCCAACACGTAACCTGCTCCGCCACCAGGACTCACTCCTATTCCACCAGTGGAATGTGAACTTGGGTCAGTAACAGAGTCACCGGAGAACCTGATGAGCATCCAAAGGCCCGCGTCCTATTCTGTCTACTTCAATGAGCCTGGGTCTCTGTGTTCTTTATGATTATCTCCCCAGATGATCCTGATACATACCGTGTTTCAGAACTACATGGAAGCAGGAGAGAAGCAAGGTTCTCTGCTTGTTCTAAAGGGATATAAAAGATCTTATCCTTATGCAAACCCCATTTGTCCTATCTCCAGTGGAGGTGCCAAGCAGGCAGGCCAGTCTCATGCAAGTTGCACATGCAGAGTCCCACCCAGGGGAGGAGCTGGGACTGCATCCTGGCATTCAGTGGGGATGAGTGGTCCAGGTCTCACCGATATCGGTGGGCTCCTCCTAGTCCCAAATTCACAAAGAGGGAAGCTGAGGCCCAAAGAAGGAAACCCCTTTTACCCGGGCCATAGGAGATTCACGGAAGCACCCCAATGGAACCCAGACTCTGGATAGTTATTGGGGGGCCTTCCACCGGATGAGAAGCCTTCTTGGTTCCTGACAGGTGGGACAACGAGTTGGGGAGTCTGTGGGTGATATCTTATGGGTTTCCTTTTGTTTCATGACTGGAAAGGAGTCCAGCCTGAACACTTTTGGAACAGAGACTCCAAAAGTCCCTTTCAGTAAAGTCTGACAATGAACTTGTAACTTGCAGATGCCAAGACTAAGCCTCAATAGTTAAAAAGTCCAAGCTCTTTAACAGTGCAACTCACTGGTCTTACTGCCTGAGCGGGCAGAGTGAGCTGCCATGAGAGCCTGGATTAGTAGCAAATCCTGGAATTTCAGGGTCTGCTTGAGGGGTCGAGGGATGCACTGTGACCACACAGCACTCAGCAGCTTCGACCATGGACCGATGACAGTTCTCAAACCACAGCAAGTGTTTTGGTTACCTCGGGGTGAGACACGTGAGGGGTGATGCCAAGAGTTAAACCAGGAAGCAATTGTGGGCTTCAGAGGTAGAAAGACATGGCTAGGGTAGGCTTCCAGCTCTGTGAGTTATCAGCCGTGACCTTGGGGAGGCCGGTCTTTACTTCTCTCAGCCTCAATTTCCACATTGTTAAAATAATTAGAATAATCACGCTCCTCTGAGAAGTAGGCGGCATGGGGCATGAGATGCATACCACTGGGTGAGTGGGCATGTGTGTGGAGGAGAAAATATATTCTATCTTGGAGAAAACGAATATAGAATCATTGAGACACAAAGAGCCTCCCGTCAGGGAAGGCGCTGAGGAATCCATTCCGGAGGCGACCTCTTCTTGGGAGCTCCTTGCTCTCGGCAAGCACACCACGGATGTTCGGGCTGTGATGGGAGAATAGTCAAGGTCTGGTCCGGCTGGAGTGAAATGCTGCCGGTCTGATAAGGGAGAAAGCGCTGCCCGTTCATCTGCCCATGAAGCAGAAACAGTGACAGAAAACGGGGCGCTTGAGATCCGCCACCCCAAGACCTTCTTGAGAGATAGAGGTTCTGTTCTGAAGGTCATGCGTGACATCAGATAGCTCCCCTCTTTCCAGACTCCAGTGTCCTGCTCATGAAAATGGATCGAGAGATGTACAATCTCTATCCCTGCCCATTTCCTAAGGGAACCCCCTCGCTGTCTCCTTGGAGCCTCACAAAAGCTAAGGAGCGTGGCACAAATGGCCAAGGACTTGACAAATGACCGGAAAGTTGGCTGTTTGAGTCGGCCCAGAGGGGCCTCGGAAGAAAGACCTGGCAGTCGACTTCTCCAAGAAACAGCCCCCGAAAGCCCTGTGGCACACGGTCTATTCTGGCCTGAGTTTGCCAAGAATCAGAGTCAACTGTACCGCCACAGGTTTGTCGGAGATGCGCCCAGAAGCGATTACCTTGTGCCAGATTGAACATCCAGCCAGAAGTGGAAGCCGCAGCCCTGAGGTAGTAACAAGCTGCTGGTTAAAAACCCTGATGCCGCTCGCTTAGCCCTCCCAAATGGCCACCCTTCAACTAAGCAGGCCTTCTCAGGTGTTCTCGGGCCCACTAGGATGGCACCCTCATATGCAGGTGGCCAGTGAGGAGCACAGCTGCAAGTATCATGAATGCCCATCTCTCTTATCACAAAGATCGTCTAATAGATCGTGTCAGGAACGCACCTCTCTGAAGGTAGTTCAACAGGTATGTGGAGAGGAGGCCCCCCTCCCCACCATAGCAGACCCTTGGTGTCCTGGCGAATAAGCGCCCCAAGACACTGATGTCTCTCAGACTGGCATGGGTCAGATTTTATGTTTTTTGACCTCTCCATCTACGAAGTCTCCCCCTCTTTGGGGCTTGAGCCCCAACAGCTGGCTCCCGTCCTTTTCCAGCTGTGTAAGCTCAGCCAGGCTGTCACATCAAGGATCCTCAGTCCTCGTTATTTTTTAATCTCTAGAATTAAAGTGAGGAAACATAGGACGTGCATAAAAACATGTCTGTTGCTTAGTACGGCTGGTGTCGTGATTACACATTGAGCTGCGATCGGCCAGGTCCACAGTTCGAAACTGCCCGGCGCTCTGTGGGAGAAAGACGGGGTTTTCTACTGTCGTTAACTGTTACAGTCTCGGAACCCACAGGGGCAGTTCCCCCTGCCCTGAGGTCACTATGAGTCGGCATCAACTGGATTAGTAAATCCTCTGCTATGGAGTCCAGTCAGACCCACAGCAGCCCTACATAAGGTTTCTGAGGCTGTGAATATTTAGGGAGCGCACAGCCTCTTCTTTCTCTCACAGAGCCCGGTGGGTTTGAACCACCGACCTTGATCTTGCTATTTGCAGTCCAACCTCACCTCCCGTCGAACCAGGACTCCCAAAGGCTTAATAAGCACTAGTTGCTGAATACTGAGTATCATAGTCACTGTTGCCATTCTGTTGTTAGGTAATGCCAGTGCTGGGGGGTGACTCCCTCCTCCTCCTCCTCCTCCTCCTCGTTCTCCCTGCAGCAGAGCTCCTCTGTCTTCCATGCGCTGCCACCAAGAGAGGAGGAGGTGCCTTGGGGGAGGACCTCGCTCCAGGAGGTGGGCGGGGCCAGCTTGCTAGAGCACCAGCCCCGCAGCTGGACGAGGCGTCTTCCTACGTGTCCCCTTGCGAGCCAGATCTCCTCAACACCCTGAACTTTCTCTTCTGAAGCAGTCATGTCTTCAACCACGAATGCCAGGGGTGCCCAGGGAAATGACTCCCTCAACCTGGACTTCATGTCTCCTTCTGAAAGCGCCAAGGATCTGCAGAAGCCCTCCGGCTTCTTGGAAGGAAGCCCTTCAGAGTCGCCGGGCTTGGAGAAGACCAAGGGCATTACGTGAGTGCTGGTTTCTGCCATCCCCGTTTCTGCCCTCCAGCCTGCGAGCTGGCGGTGGCAAAAATCCCGGAGGGGGCGTGTCTGACCCCCAGCCAGTTGTGCAGATGGGGAGGCCAAGTGTGGGACGGCAGAGTGGGGCTGAGCCGGATGGGGGCTCACGAAGGAGGGGTGGAGAACGTGAGGACAGCCTTTCATATCGTGAGAAGCCCAGATCATCGCTCGTCCACTCCCCAGGTGGACAGCTGGGAAAGCCGCACCAAGTGACCCGAAGTCACCACCTGAGTCCCTGGCAGAGTGGAGGCTGGATTCCAGTGCTGGCCCCAAAGTCCATGCTGCTTCCGGTCAGCCTACTAATATAGACAGAACCTCCAGCCTCTTGGAGGAAGAGCCAAGACTGGGTCTAAAATCCCCAGCCACCTCCATGACAAACAAGCCTCCTCCCTGTCCCCTTCATGACGCTGCTGATCACCAGGTCAGCGGTTCAAATCTACCAGAGGTTCCAAGGGAGAAAGATGGGGCTTTCTACCATGATGGGGGGGCAACAGTCTTGGAAAGCCACGGGGGCCACTCTACCTGTCCCATTGGGTGACTGAGTCAGAAATGACTTGCTAGCCGGAAGTTCGGTTTGTTTTTGTTTGTTTGATCTTTTGTCTCCTACCTGTAGTCATCCGGGCCCCTATTTCACATGGGAATTTCAGGGAGGAACACCCAAAAGCAAAGTATGCGGGAGATCCCGCTGGGGGTGTTTTCTGTTTTGCTTCGTAGACTTTCGAGCTGGGACAAGGAGGGTCTGTGAGAAAAAGATGGGTAGGGAAGCCAAGCTATGAGACCCCCAGCCCCTTTTCCTCTGCCTAGCCCCCACCCCTCAACCAGGGGCTGCTAGTTTGCTTCATGGGGAGCTTGGTGGTAGAGGGGTTCTGCTGCTTTAAGAAGAAAGCAGTAAACACCCGTGGTGTAATTGAAAGAGCTCCAGGCCAAGAATCAAATCTATATTTAAGCTGTGGCTCCGCTGCTTCTCAGTTTCCCTGGAAGTGAAGCAGTCATGAGTTGGAGGTGCTGAGGTAAAGGAGGAGGTTAATTGTGAAGTGGGGCTGGAGGCAAGAGGAGGCAAACAGGCCTTCGCTGTGCCCTGGGTTGGTTGACGTGAGGCTCCTCGTCCTGGGGACTGCTGAGACTGTGACCTTGAGGGAGCACGTTTTAGCCTTGCAGCCACGCGTAGCTGGGGAGGGTATTTCTCAATCGAAGGCCTTGGGGGAACCATCTGGCCTGAAATAACACATGGTTTGGTGGCAATGTCTGCTACTTCATCATTGTAGCAATAAAGTAAGTCAGAGGTGGGGGGAGGCAAGAAGAGTAGCAGTCCTGAACTCTGAACATGGCACCTTGGAAGTCGGTTCAAATCCACTTAGCGCCTCAGCCACCTGGGTGTGTGATGCTGCTTCTCTGTGCTTGGGTTGCTATTCTGTAATGTGGACCCACTGCATGTTTGCACCTAGCAGCCAGCCGCACCACAGGGGGAGAATGAGGCTATTTGCCTCGGTCAAAATTTATACTCTTGGAAACCTCAAACATGGCTGTTATGAGTCAGAATCAACTCAGTGTGTGTGTGTGTGTGTGTTGATGGGGGCTCTAGAGGTGACTGAACATAAAGCAGTTACATCTAGAACTCAGGTCTCCTGAATCTCAGTCCAGTCCTTTGCTCAAATCACTGCTCTGTATTTTTAAGTGGCTCGAGTGACCAAAGTTAAATTCTGATTTCTGAAGCACTCCTTAGTTAGAAATCTCCAAAGTGGCCTTTTGAGTCAATCCAGTTGCAAACCAAACCCCTCACTGATGCCTAAGGGTACAGTGCTTTATCAGTAAGGTTGGCACCTCCAGGAGATAAAAGCCAAGCCATGTGGGTCTCCCCGCCTGCTCCTGATTGTGCATTTAGCCCCTAAGGCTTCTAACAGGACTTAGAGGACTAAGGGCCTTATCATAAAGATACAGGTGTCTGGGGCAGTTCTTTCTAACATTTTCAGGCGTTCAGCAAAGTTGAGCACGTTGCATTGTAAGCTTGCTAAGCAAAGGCTTTAAGTTTTAAATCCCTGGTTTGTGCAACCCGAGACCAAGCTTCTTCCAAAACACTGATTTTCAGAGCTGGAAGACACAGGGGATTGTCCAAAGCTCCTAAAATAAACTCATCCCCCCACCTGGTGCACTGGAATGATGCAGTGGCGCTGCGGGGAGGGGCCTCTGGAGCCCAATCTCCAGATGCACCTGGGGACCCAAATATCTGACCTATGTCTTCAGATGTCATATTTGTTTTGTTGTTGTTGTTTCAGTTTGTCCTTTCCTCTTTCCTCTGTGTCCAATCCTGCTTCCCCTACTAATTTCTTGGCATAGTCACTGTCCCCTCTCGGAGTGTCCGACACTTCCCCAGTTATGAAATGGGGTTGTACTATGACAAGCTGTTTTGGGCTATCCCCAGGAGACACCTCGCAGAGGTGCGTGAGAAAATCCGGGTCTTTGAAGCAGCCCTGAGGTTGAATTCTGGCTCCCCTATACATCCACGGGCTGGTCACTAATACAACTCTGTGCTTTCATTTTCTCAGCTGCAAAAGCGGTACGTTGGTAGCCCCCTTCTCACGGTCGAAACAGGAAGATTAAATGTGATTGTGCATAGAGCACTGAGCACAGATGATGGTGTATCATGAGTATTGGCCCCTAACGCCAAGACATTTGGTCAGCCTACAGAGAGCCCCTATGTGACAGGCAAGAGCAAGGTGACAGGCAGATGGTCAGGGAGCCCTCTACCCAGTTATGAGGGACTGACTATTGGACCTACTCACCTCCACACACCCACAGCCTCACACCTCCTTCCTCTCTTGCAGGGGGTTCCAGACCTTGGTTCATCTGGTGAAAGGGAACATGGGCACAGGGGTCCTGGGACTCCCCCTAGCCATCAAGAATGCAGGCATCCTGGTAAGAACCGCTGGTGCTGGGAGCCAATGGAAGCTTGGGGGGCGGGGGGGGGGGCAGTAACCGTTTGCGTGGTTCTGAATGCAGTAGTCTTCCCAGGAGGCACCCAGGTCCAAACTTGGCGTCCGGACAGCTAGCCTGGGTTGGGTTATGCTTTTCCTGGAGAAATTGGCCAATCGTTCTTCCACTCTCTGGGCCTCAGTCCAGTAAGGAGGTCCAACCTTGGTAGAACTGGAGGATTGGACAGTGACCATTTTCCCTGTGTGTCCTGCAAAGCCCCGTGCTTCCCCAAGGATCCCTCGGAGGCCCGGCATGGCACGTGGTCAGGATTCTGTGCCCTACTCCCACCACAGCACCAATACCCTGTTATAATAGCTCTCTGTCCTTCTTTGGAGCTCTGCTTGAGGTTACATATATTTTTAGCAGTAAGTCTTTTATTTTTTAAAAATCATTTATTTTATTTTTATTGTTGAAAATGTGCACAGCAAAACATGTACCAGCTCAACAACAAGCTCTACATGTACAACTCAGTCACACTGACTACATACTTCAGGACGGACAACCAGTGTCACCTTCTTTGTCTAGCCATTCCACCACCATGGACATGAACTTGCTGCCCAATGAGCTCCTTCTTGACCTCTGCTGCTGTGATCTGGTCTTAGATGGCATTTGAAAGAACAGCGTTGGCTGCTCAACGTGTTTTTGAGAAACAGTTTGCCATAAAATTCTTTGGGCTCTGAAGTCGTCAGATCCCTCCTCTCGGTCTCCTTCTAAAGCCCGTCTCGTCTCTCTCCCCCGGCCCCACCCTCCCTCCTTCAGATGGGCCCGCTCAGCGTGCTGGTCATAGGCTTCGTGGCCTGTCACTGCATGCGCCTCCTGGTCAAGTGTGCCCGGCACTTCTGTCACAGGTGAGGAAAACTGTGTCCTCTGGTCCATTCCTTCGGCATGTGGTTCTTGGGGACATCCCAGACACCCTGAACACACCGCTGTAAGTCGCCATCGGGTAGAACTGCTCCACGGGCTGTTCTTGGCTATACTCCTCATGGAAGCAGAGCCCCGGGCTTTTTCTTCCACAAGAACCACTGGGTGGGTTCAAACTGCTGACCTGGAGGTAAGCAGTTGAACAGAAACTGTATTGACCTCCTATACTTCCTTCCATCGAGATGAGTCCCACTCGTAGTGAACCTGAATAGGGTTTCTGAGACTGAAGCTTTATGAGAGGAGACAGCCTCCTCTTTCTCCCATAAAGCAGCTGGTGGCTTTGAACCACCAGCCTTTCCATTAGCAGCCCAGCCACCCAACCCCTAAGCAATCTGTACATAGCAGGAGCTGAATTCCGAATCTTCTCCAACAAAGCCACTGAAAAGAGAATGCATTCAAGGGTTAAGGTAGGCTTCTGCCACCGGGATCCTCATGAAAATCCAGAATGGAGCTGTGCCCCATGCGAGTTTCCTGGGCTGGTTTTTCTGAAGTGGATCACCAGGTCTTTCTTCTAAAGCACCTCCGAGTGGGTTCAAATCTCCAAGCCTTTGACTAGCAGCTAAATGCATTACGTTTGCATCACCCAGGGATTCCACATTACTCAACAGGTGATCCAAATCAGGCCATTGTGCTTATCTGCTTGGCTTGTCTATAAATTGGGCATAAACAATTCATGCTCAATCCTGCCTTAGAAAATTATCATGAGGAGCCAGTGGGACTGGAGCTATGAAAACTGCAGGACTGGTGCAAGGAATGCATTGTTACCTGGAGCTTGATTTATTTGACAGGTGAGGATAACAAGTCAGCCAGGAAGTGCCACCAGTTGTTAGAGTCTGAATTGGAACTCAGGTCTCCACCCAGCCTTCGCCCCAGTCTCCAGTGGGTCATGCCTGGTTCAGTGCCTCCTGACCTTTGAGTCTGTGGTCTTTGACAACTGTGTATGTGCTCTCTCCCACAGGCTTAACAAGCCCTTCATGGACTATGGGGACACAGTATTGCACGGACTAGAATCCAGCCCCAGCCTCTGGCTCCAGAAGCACGCTCATTGGGGAAGGTACTTTGTTCTTGCTTGGCCTGCAGTGGAGGGGAATGCTCTTGTCAGAGATGTCTTCTTCCCAGGAAAAGTCAACCCCGTGGCACAGAATGACAGGATTCCCAGGAGGCATTAATTGGCAACATCTCTGTCCAGTACCTCCTTGTATGCTCCCAATAATAGGTGCGCATTCGGTTGCTATTCAACTTTAGTATTATCTTCTCTCTGGTTGTGTCGTGGTTACACATTGGGCCGCAATGATTGGCAGTTCGAAACCGCCAGCAGCTCCACAGGAGAAAGACTACACTTTCTATTCCTGTCAACAGTTACAGTGTCAGAAACCCACCGGGGATTTCTATGAGTCAGTGAATTTGGTTTGGGTTATTATTTTCTTGGGGAAGCGGGGGGGCACCTTTTATTTAACAAGTATCCAATTGCTACCATGTACCAAGCCAAAAGCAAACTTAATGTCACCAATTGATTCTGACTCTTGGCAACCCTACAGAACAGAGTAGAAGTGCCCATATGGGTTTCAGAGACTAACTTTTTATGGGAGTAGAAAGCCTAACCTTCCTCCCATGGAGTGGGTCATAGTTTTGAACTGCTGACCTTGTGGTTTTGAACTCCTGGGGGGTGGGGGGGATAGTGGGGAAGAAGAGAAATGACAAGGTTAATAATTTATGTTTCACAGAGTGCAAAGTCCAATGGTATATTTAGATATATTTAACACAGATACTTAATAACCTTGGGGATAAATAATATGAAGGAAAGGTACAGGTTGCTATTGAGTAGATACTTAGGCTTGGGAGAGAGTTTCTCAGGATGAAACAGCTGAGCTGATTTCCGAAGGAAGGCATTGGAAAGTTTAGGAATGCCCTGGAAGTAGGCAGGGCCTTCCACAAAGAAGGAAGGGCACATGTGATGGCCTCAGAGCAGGAAAGAGTGTGGGGCAGTTTCAAGGTACAGAAAGAACAGGCAGATTAAGGGCAGACAGTCAGAGAGGTGAAACAAAAGAATGAGCCTGGTGCTGGTTCAGGTCCTGCTGGGTGCATTGGACCCTCTCAAAAACCTTGCTCTTTTCTTAAGTTTCCTGCATTTGGAAGACTTTAAGCAGTGAGATGGTCGTGCTTGCATTGCTTGAAGATCTGCCTGGCTTTGAGAGGAGACAAGATTGTAACAGAGCAAGAGTAGATTTAGATCAGGGAGGAGGCTGTTGACAATAACCAGACCAGTGGAAATGGTCATTTGAACCAAGCTGTTGGTAGTAGGGATGGAGAAGTACAGAATACTAAAAACAAAACAGAAGCAAAACACCTCAAATCTCAAAATGACTGCCACCGAGTCGATTCTGACTCATGTCCCAAAGGACAGAAGAGAACTGCCCCCCATGGGTTGCTGAGGCTGTAAGTCTTTACAGGAGCAGAACGCTTCATCTTCCTCCAGAGGAGCAGCTGGTGGGTTCAAAGGGCTGACCTTGTGGTTAGCAGCCCAACAGGTAACCCATGATGCCACCAGGGCTCCTTCGAATCCCAGAAAAAGAGG